ATTTTTTTCTGATTTTTTTTGGATTTTTTCTGATTTTTTTCGGATTTTTTGTCTATTTTTTGTCATTTTTTGGTCAATTTTTAAGCATTTTTTGACCATTTAAAGTGGATTTAAAAATCTATAATGCATCTAAAATAAAGTATTTTTTGAGAATTTTTTCTGATTTTTTTTCAAATTTTTAAATAATTTTTTCTCAATTTTTTTGGATTTTTTCGTAATTTTTCGAGAATTTTCAGAGGTTTTAAGGAATCTGGACCTCTCCAAAATTTGGAAATATTTCAAGAAATTTCTAGTAAAGTTTAAAATAATTTTTAAGATTTTTTACAAAATTTATTACGATTTTTTCCAGATTTTTTGGCATTTTTTTCAAAAATTCCCAAGATTTTTCCCAATTTTTAATGATTTTTTAAAACATTTAAAATGTATTTTAAAGCTCATATTCTATAAAAAATAAATTTAAAATTCAGCAAAAAATTAAGAAAAATTTCAGGAAAATTTGAGGGATTTTTACAAAAAATTTTGGGGATTTTTAGAAGAATTTTTTGGTTTTTAGGAAGAATTTTTGGGATTTTTAGGAAAATTTTTGGGGATTTTTGGCCCAAATTGGGGAACCCGCCCAGCCTCCCCCATCCCCTGCAGGGCCAAGAAAAACAGCACAAAAAGGGGGGTCTGCCACCCCCCAACAATTAGTCATTAATTAAAAGATAATTAGGGATCAATTAAAGAATAATTAGGATTTTTTACAGAATTTTTTTCTAATTTTTTGACAATTTTTTGCGATTTTTCATCTATTTTTTGGGGTTTTTTTCCTCAATTTTTAAGCATTTTTTGACCGTTTTCAATGGATTTAAAAATCTAAAATGGATCAAAAATAAAAGATTTCTCTGAGAATTTTTACAGATTTTTTCCTGATTTTTTTTCAAATATTTAATTTTTTTTTTCTGATATTTTTTGGATTTGATTAGGAAACAATTACACAATAATTAAAATTTTTCACAGAATATTTTCTGATTTTTTTTCTGATTTTTTGACCATTTTTTGTCATTTTTTCCTCAATTTTAAATCAATTTTTAAATATTTTAAATATATTTAAAAATAGGAAATTCATTTAAATTAAAGCAATTTTTGGGGAATAATTTGGGGTTTTTAATGGAATTATTTTCAGGTATTTTTAAATTATTTAATAATTTATTTTGATTTTTAAAACATTTTAAAATCTAAAAATTATGGAATATTTTAGGGAAATCATAACATTTTAAACTAAATTTGTGGGACTTTTTTCGATAATTTTTAGGGAATTTTTTCAGAATTCTTTAGAAATTTTTCAAGTACTTTTTAACTTTTTTTTTTATTTTAAGCCACAAAGTTTTCAGAAAACACCCAAAAATTAAATAAATCCCCCCCAATTTTCAACCCAAACGCCCCAAAGTTTCTCCAGAATTTATTCCCAAAATTTTTTGGGATTATTCCGGAATTTTTTGGGGCAAATTCCTGAATTTTTGGTGTTTCCAAACCTGCACGAGGGGCACCAGGAAGCCCCGGAGCGGATTGACGTCGTGACGTCGCTGATACGAGACCAGTTCCGAGTAAGCCATGGCCACTGAGGGGTTAAAAATGGGCGTGGTCAGCCCGGGAGGGCGTGGCCAACAAGCCACGCCCACCTCAGATCAGCCACACCCAAAAAATCCTGAAAAAATTGAGAAAAATTAGTAAAAATTTGCAAAAATTAAAATGGAGCGAGGCCCCTTTAAGAGCAAGCCACACCCACTTGATGCCCATATATGGAATAAGACTAATGTTGAAGACATTGAGGCCACACCCCTTTTGCCACACCCATTTAAGGTCATGTTTTTTCCCCGTGTATTTCCCAAATTTCCCCATTTTAATCCCCAATTTTCGGCCCCTCCCACTCCAATTTAGGCCACACCCACCTGAGCCAAGCCACACCCATAAAAAAATCCCAAAAATTGCAAAAAATTATAACTGAGTGAGGCCCCTTTAAGAACAAACCACACCCACTTTATACCCATATATGGAAAAAATCATGGCGGCAATGCGCGAGGCCACGCCCCTTTCTGGCCACATTTGCATGTTGCACATTTAAGGACATTTTGGTTTTGAAATTCCCAAATTTTCCCATTTTTATCCCAAATTTTTTGGCCCCTCCCACTCCAATTTAGGCCACGCCCACCACAGCCAAGCCACATCCAATTTAGGCCACACCCACTTCAGACAAGCCACGCCCACCTCAGATGAGCCACACCCAAAAAATCCTGAAAAAATTGAGAAAAATTAGCAAAAATTTGCAAAAATTAAAATGGAGCGCGGCCCCTTTAAGAGTAAGCCACACCCACTTGATGCCCATATATGGAATAAGACAAATGTTGAAGACATTGAGGCCACGCCCTTTTTGCCACGCCCATTCAAGGTCATGGGTTTTTTCCCTCTGTATATCCAAAATTTTCCCATTTTAATCCCAAATTTTTGGCCCCTCCCACTTCAATTTAGGCCACGCCCACCTCAGATTGAGCCACACCAAGAAACTCCTGAAAAAATTGGGGAAAATAAATCAAAACTTTGCAAAAATTAAAATGGAGTGAGGCCCCTTTAAGAGCAAGCCACACCCACCTGATGCCCATATATGGAATAAAAATCATGGTGGAGAAAGTGAGGCCACGCCCTTTTTGCCACGCCCATTTAAGGTCATGTTTTTTCCCTGTGTATATCCAAAATTTCCCCATTTTAATCCCCAATTTTCGGCCACGCCCACTTCAGACAAGCCACGCCCACCTCAGACGAGCCACGCCCACCTCAGACGAGCCACATCAGAAAACTCCCGAAAAAATTGGAAAAAGAAAAATAAAAAAATGGCAAAAACTAAAATGAGGCGAGGCCCCTTTAAGAATAAACCACACCCACTTTATGCCCATATATGGAATAAGTGGTGGCTGAAATAGAGAGGCCACGCCCCTTTCTGGCTACATTTGAATGCTGCTTATTTTAGGATGTTTTGGTTCTGAAATTCCCAAATTTACCCATTTTTATCCCAAATTTTTGGCCCCTCCCACTCCAATTTAGGCCACGCCCACCACAGCCAAGCCACACCCCTTAAAAAAAAAAAGGTAAAAAAAATCAAAAAATGGCAAAAAATTATAATTTAGTGAGGCCCCTTTAAGAATAAGCCACACCCACCCCAAAAAATAAAAAAAAAAAGAAAAAAATTATCAAACAATGGCAAAAATTAAAATGGGGCACGGCCCCTTTAAGAATAAACCACACCTACTTAATGCCCATATATGGAACACAAGCAGCTCAGAGTGTAAAAAATGAGGCCACGCCCCTTTAGGACCAAATTTGGTCATGACCAATCAGGCCATTTTCCCTTTAGAATTCCCAAAATTCTGATTTTTTTTCCCAATTTTTCAGCCCCTCCCACTCCAATTTAGGCCACGCC